TAGGGTTAAACCACGAAAGGGTTGTTCAGCCTGGAGAAGAGAAGGCTCCGGGGAGACCTTATTGCAGCCTTTCAGTACTTAAAGGTGCTTATCAGAAAGATGGGGACAGACTTTTTAGCAGGACCTGCAGCGACAGGACAAGGGGGAATGGTTTTAAACTAAAAGAGGGGAGATTCAGACTAGATAGAAGGAAGAAATTGTTTACACTGAGGGTGGTGAAACCCTGGCCCAGGTTGCCCAGAGAGGTGGTAGATGCCCCATCCCTGGGAACATTCAAGGTCAGGTTGGACAGGGCTCTGAGCAACCTGATCTAGTTGAAGATGTCTCTGCTCATTGCAGGGGGTTGGACTAGATGGCCTTTAAAGGTCCCTTCCCACCCAAACCATTCTATGATTCGATGATTCTATGGGTACTGTTAAAAAGTTTAAAGCTGGGCACATCCTTGCCTTATGCAGAATAGTGAAACTGAGAAAGAGGATTTTGCCTTTGTTAGTCTGACCATGGTGCTGGCATGTTTTTGCAAGAGGGCAATTAGCCGGGATGCAAAGAACAAGGCTCTACCTGCTGACTTCAGGGAAGCAGAGATTCCCACATAACCCTGTTAGATTTTAAAAGGAGGGCACTGGGTTCTTGTCTGCTCTGTAGGCAGAGCCAATTCCTACTCAGGATTTTGGCTGTTTCCTCCTCCCTTGCCTGCATGCTGCCAGCCAGGCTCACGTCCACCCACCAGCCGGAGGGAAGGTGTCATATTCGGACAAGTCCTTGCCATGAGGCCCAGCGAGTTCAGCCCCTCAGCTCTGTCCCTCCTCTGGCACAGCCACCTGCCCCTGGGAAGGCCCAGACTAAGAGGCCTTATCAATGAGCACCAGAAGTCATGGCAGAGGAGGTGACAGATTTCACCACTCCGATGCTTCAAATCCAAACGGGAACAGGCAGCCTTACCAGAAGCATAAAAGTCAGGGTCGAAGTATGCCATGAGGAAGAAGTTGAAGACAAGCAGCAGGAAGCCAGAAAACGTTATCAAATTTGGGGCCAGCCAGGTAGGGAAGATCTATGGGAAAGCAGCAAAAGAACACATGAACTCATTAAAACATGTAATAAGGACCACATGCTGCTCCCAGCCATGGCAGAGACCTGGTTACAGTCGTCTGGGTGTTAGGCAACATTGCTTAGTCGCATCTGGCATATCACGGGGCAGCAGGAAGCTTTAGGCTGCGATGCAATGAGCTCGGGGCAGGCTGCAGGCTGGAAGGCAGCGCCCTTTGTAATTAGTTGCACCACAAACGAAGCAGGACTCTTCAGCTGACAGTTTTACAGAGAAGACTTTGGGGTGACTGGAGTTTTGCTATCCCATTCAGGGCAGGACAAGGTCTCACCTTCACTATCGTGTTCCAGAAGGGATGCATGACATACAGAGACAGGGGGTTGCTGTCCACGGCACTGTACTGTGAACGACAAGGGAAAAACAAAAAAACAATAGTTAGGGCTCCACCAACACTTGCAAAAAGTCAGAGATCCTGAATATTGAGTTCTCTGTGAGGACACCCGCTACCCGAGTCTTGGCATTGCAAGAACACTTGGGTCAAGGATGGAGTCTCACCAGGGATGGTGCTAAACAACCCGAAATGCACCCACCAGCTCCAGCGACACTGGCCACGGACACACAGAGGCAGCTCTCTCGTGCATATCTCGTGCCTGCACCCAATGCCTCCCCTCTGCAGGAAGCAGCCCCACGAGAAGAGTGGGTAGCGTGCCCACCGGAACAGGTTTTGGAAGGCGGGAAGAGACTCAAGGACGCGCAACCTCCTTTGCAGCCAACGCTCCCACCAGAGCCCCGCACCTCGATGGCCACACCGCAGGCCTGGTGGCACTCTTCACAAGCCGGAGAAGAAATGACAGTCCCATGGCCCCAAGCACCCACACCGGGTGACCGACCCACCGAGGACAGCTTGGTGTGCTCTTGCTTGAGCAACCCTGTAGAGTCCTGCCCAACAAGATGAGCAGGACCAGGGACCTTCTTGGCTCAGCACCCAAAGGCGCTGTGCTGAAGGGCAGGGGGAGACCTCCCCACCAACCATGAGAGCTGGGGACACTTCTGCAGCCCCTCTGGTCTCCAGGCTCCTTAGCTCTCACACCCCGGCACCCCTTTTGCCAAAGGCTGCAGGAGGACAGTGATAAGCCCCCTTGGTGGGGTCCCCAAAATGGGAGACTGTTCTCCAACGGACAGGATACTAACAGGGAGCTTCAAGGGATTTCTGTGCTGACAGCTCTGAGTGACCCAGACACAACCAGTGACTGACCCCAGAGGTCCTGCGTGCTTCAGCTGAAGCCATCGAGATGGCAGTTATCACTGTCCCACTCATCTCCAGTCACTTGGAAGAGACTTTCTCCTCCCAGAAAGACAGCAGATATTTATGAGCAAGGTCTTCAACCCACTCCCTTGTTCTGCAGATACTCCAGGACACGTATACCACCATACCATCACGCATCCACAAGTATCTCTGAATCCTGCACATCCTGTCACAGTTTCAGGTACAGAGGGTCATTTGGCACTAAAGAGAAGGCAGAGGCACCAGCTTCCCAGTGCAGCCACGCAGGTGACCTGGGCTGGTTCGTGGGCACCACGGGACATGGGGCTCCCAGCCCCACCGCAGGAGGTGGGGACAGAGATTGGGGCCAGCAAGGGAGCAAAGTAATCATAGCAGCACAGGTGACAGGTTTCACTGTTTGGAGGTTGGACCCATGTCATTTTTCCTTATTCAGTTAGCAGTGTGAAGCAGTTGCCTGCTGACCTCGTGAAGGATCAGCATCTTGCTCCTTGCCTGCACCCAGCTCAGCGAGCTGGAGTCCACATTTCCAAAGGAGGAGGATTGGCGGGTGAACACCAAGAGGCCTGTGGGTATCCCACACAGGAAGGGTCTCAGAGGGCTGCTCAGAAGGGCTCCTCTCTGTTAAGGAGCCAAGATTTCTGCAGAGGCAGCTGCTGCCCTTGGGAAATGCGGAGGAAGAGCTCTTACCCCTCACCCCAACGCTTTTAGATCATTTGGAGGGGGGAAAAATAAGAAAACCAAAGACCCAGACAAGCCATGAAACAGTTTCCAGTTAGAAAGTTAAAATTTGAAATCATTTGGCTCTCACGAGCACCACGAGCTGTTATCTGCTCTCCAGCTCACAGCCCCTTCCTAGCAAAGATTAACCCGTCTAAAGTCCTCTTCCTCAAGTAACACTTTGATAAGAATCCCAAGAAAAATTTCATAGGCTACAAAACTCCTCAGCTCACGTGCTGGGTGCCGAGCAGGGCAGCTCCTAGTGCCCACCCACCCTCGGTCCCCATGGTTGGGACAGCACCCCTGCAGCTCCCCAGCAGCAGCGCCTGCCGCCATCCCACGCGAGTCTAATCCCAAGTTTACGAGCAGTGTTATGGAAAGCAATCAAAGCCTCCACCCCTCCTGCACACCACCACGGACATAACCTGTGCACTCGCCGAGATAAGGGGAGTTTGGTTGGTAAAAGGAAACCCATCAGCAGGGAGCAGCTCCAGGTCCCCACCCACGCCACAGCCTTGCCCACTGTCTCTGCATCCACGGTTTGTTCCTCCCTCTGTGCTCCTCTCCTCAGCTGGAAACCCCACTTCCCCTGGAAGCAGTCTGTCCATTTCAAAAGCTGGGAAGAAAGTGGTGGAAAGGGCAAAGCAACACCCCACAAGACAGATGCCAGCAGGAGGAAGGGGCACCAGGTCTCGCCGGGCTCTAAGCACACAGGCTAAGAGCTTACAGCATTTGTTCCTAACTGGATGAATCCCATCCTTGGCAAGCATTTCTGTACCCCCACCAGCTCTTCCCTGCCCCCCACCGTGACGGATCAGTCCATCTCACTGGGGGTTAGCCCCAGCGCTTACGTCCCCACGACAGCAAGCCCGTAGGAGCTGCAGAGCAAGCAGCAACAAAACCCCGAACTCGACGCCGTACGGAGGCGAGGTTTAACCCGCAAGGAATTTCTATCCCAGCTTAATGCAATTTCAGGGGACAGAATTCCAAACGCCTTACGAGATAATAGGATTTGAACCACTGGTTAGGGGAGGAGGAGAGCTGGAGACCGATAAAATCTCATTAACCCCAAAACTGCCTGGAACAAGAAAACAAATGCAATGCTTGGAGCAAGGCAGGGGAAGCGCTATGCTCGTGTTTGTAAGGTACCTCGGGGAAGTTCTCCCAGGCCCATGTCCCAGGAAGCTTTCCCCTCTCCCACCATGTTTGGGGACTGGGGATAATAGTCAATAAGCAGCTTTTCCCCATGGTCACACATGTTCCCACTTTGCTTGCAGAACTCAAAGACCTGGAATGACCCGTTTCTTGGGGGAGAGGGCAGCTGTTTTGCAGAGGTTTGCTGATACAACCACCCCAGATTCAACCAGTCTCCTGGAGGGACACTTCTTTGTCTGCTGAGCAAGGCAGGTAGGAGCTCTGCCAGCTCAGAGGACACCAACAGACCAAAGGGACCGAGCTGGGGCTGGCTCCAGCGCCAGGCTGCCTGCCACCCTAAGGGACAGCGCTCCAAGGCAGCCAGGACAAGGCTGCCTGCCTGCCCAGGACAGCCACCTGCCAGAATACCAATGACCTGCCAGGCATCTTCAGCTACGAAACTCAAAAAGCATCTGCCATACCCAGCCTCCCCTCAACTGCTTTTTGTCATTTGGTTTCCTTCCTATAGAAATTCCACCTCTTTACCTTTCTGTGCTAGCAAGAAGGGGTTCCTGTCCTGCATGGCACGCGAGCTCTCCACTCCGTAGCGGACAGCAAGCCAGCAGGGCTGCTGGGGACGCTGGCAGCAGGCGAACGAGGAGGGACAGGCAAGGACAGGCAACGCAGGCACGCTCACCACCTCCTCAGGGAGCAGGGCCTCTGTATTGTCAGAGCTGGAAGCAAAGCAAGCTGCGGAGATGCTTCACTTGCAGCTCACTCCTCTGGCTGCTCACCCTCCAGCCCACCCCACGGGAAGAGAGCACGCTGGTGATGGAGGCAGCAGCCTGCCCTTGAAGGAAGCCCTTAGCCAGGCTCCTCATTCCTGCGTCAGCCATCCAGGGCCAACGTTTTTGGAGACTGATATTCCCAGAGAAATACAAGCTCAGGATATCTGTCTCGATCTGCCTGTTCATACATGCTTGTGCCTTGGAGCAAAACTGAGGAAGGGGCCCAATCGCCCCCGAGAGCACCAGGCTGAGGCATGGGGCTTGTACTCCCCCAAAGCTCGTCTCACACTCAGCTGCTGCGGTTGCTCTGATGAAACACTCTCAAGGCTATAAACACAGCAGTGTTTTAGCTCACCACGCATGGCACCAGCTCTGTCATTCACCCACCTCATCCTCACTGCAAATTAGCATCACCTTTTCCATTTTGGACCTTTACGCATTGGTCTAGTGACTCACGCACGTGACTATTATCCTTCTCCAAGTCATTTTTCTTTCACGGCCGATGACTACCACCAGCTAGGACTCTTGATTTCTCTCTTGTTTTCAGGGAAGAAGGCCAAACAAAAAGCACGAGTGCATGGGAGGAGTTTCGTACACCCCAGAGCCTCCTTCTCAAAGCAGACAGGCATTTGTAACGGGCCCTGCTCTAAAATAGCACCGTGCATGCAGACACCGCTTCTCCTTACGACTGCAGGAAGGAGGGAACTCAGCCCAGGCAGTCCCCTTGGGATTTGGTTTTAAACTTCTTAAGAAAAGAGCAGAGCCAACTTGGCAGCAACAATCTCATCACTCGTACAGCGGCAGCCTCTCCTCCACCCTGTCCGTGCCAGGATGGCCATGGGACTGCTCAGCTCCCCGCTTCCCCCATCCAGCCACCCCACAGGGCACCCCAACAGCCAGCAGACGGTCCCGGCTGCCACGGAGCCATCGCAGGCGCAGCGGTGACCTGACTGCATCGTTATGGGATTTAAAGACGCGAATGGCTCATACAGCTTAAAAACAACATTAATCATGCAACCAGGACGTTTCTGGAAGATCCAATTATGTGTCCGAGGAGGAAAAAAGAAAATACAGATTTATAGCCCAGATTCTACTAATAGCCTTCCTGTCCAGAAAAACAATGCCGCTTTTAAGTAATCCAGTTACCAGGAGCCAGCAGCAGACCAAACATTGTCGCACGGGTGCCCCGGGCACACCAGTGTCAGACACCTGAATGGATCCAGGGTGGGCTGGGGGAGGACAGCGCTGGTGGCTCCGGCACCAGCCCTGGGGACAGCAAGCAAGGATGGACTTGTACACCCCATTTTGCTCGCAGGCGTTCCGGCGAGGTCCATAGCAGCCTGCGCTGCTGGCCACGAGCCTGCGTTTCACCGCTCGCACCAGCAGCAGGGCAGAGGGAGCCTCAGCAGAGCTGCAAGTTCATAAGGCTGTTTCCTATAAATCTCCTTAAGGAGAGGGCGTGAGGCTAAG